ACCCTGGCTTTGAACAGGTTAAGATTGTAGAGTTTAAGGAAACATCCTGTTGGGAGTTGGTTCCACGAGGCAATGTTTTGTCAGAAGAAGCTGCTTGAGTGGAACATACTTATCACTGATGGAATGTGGGTAGTTTGTTACTATGTAAGTAGTATGGCGTGTTCTTGCCATGAAGGTTTGACTTGGTGGGACCAGAGAATGTAGTTCATCTGAGCACTTTCTGTGGAAGTAGCAATAGAGCAGCAAGAGGCTTGTCACATCCTGTCTGTGGGAGAGAGGTTGGAGAGTGGAGAATAATTCATCATCCACAAGGGCTCAGAGACATTTTGGATTTTATCAAAGCTGAAAAATGCACATTAACTACAAACAAGATGAATCTTCACTTAGAAATATTATAAAGAAATACACTACCCCAACTGACCTGAATAAAAAAATCAAATCAATTATCTACATAAATTTAAAACAGCTAACCTTATCCTCAAAAATAACAACACAAAATAAATAGATTGTTCACATGACTACATGCCTATCCAGACACCTTACATTAGACATGTCTGACTACAGCTCTATTAGAACCCATTTAAAAAAACACATACACAAATTTACCAGACTCCATCTGAAACATACTAGTAAAAAATGCAAACATAATAACCTCATCCACATGTAAAAAAGATTAAAAATAATGGAAGCCTTAATAATAAAAAAGTAAAAGTCAACACTTAATAATATTAACTATGAACGCAGCCACAATGTGCTGTGATTGGGAAATAAAACATCTCTATAACACTAAAAACATGCACACACCCAATTATATTGAAAAAAATAAAATCATCCTTGATAATGGCTAAAAGTATATCTGAAAGCACTTGGAATTATAGAGCATTTAAACAGTTTCTACACACTGTGTCCAAAAAAGAAAACACTTGTTTGAATACAAGAAAAATTAAATGAAAAGCTTAATCATAGTACCTTGTCTGTCATTTTTAATGAAACATGCATATATCGCACAAATAATGGGGTGCTGAAAAGCTTTAAAAATATATTTGGTTAGATTTTGGAAGAGAGTCAGACCAATAACTTTTCAGCACCCCCTTATATACATATACAAAAACACACATGCAAGGGTGGCTCAATACGTGTATAGCTTGAAACTATTTATTAGCAGAATTTTGATCTGAAATTTTTCTCAATCCTATTCAACTTATGTGATTAATATGGAAGCATTGGGATAAGTACATTGACAAAAGAAGGTTATATTAAAAATAGATATGTATTATGTTAAATAAATACTTTTTTTATGATTAAGATAATGTCTTATTGATAGAAATAGGTGTGTGTGTGTTCATGTTTCAGTAGTAGTAATAGTAGTAGCATCAATGGTAAGTAGTACAAATTTTACTATTTCTTTCCATTGGGCAATTGAGTTCACATCTGATTTGCTCTAAAAAAAAATGTACCTTCTTCTGCAAGCAAACACCTGATTCAAGATTCTGAAAAAAAAATAAGTAAAAAATATTACAAGAGATTTCTATATGGCTGTTCCATTCCAGATTTGATGCCATTTTTGTAACCTTCAACTTTTAATTTACAAAAAAGAGAGAAAGAGAAAAAATTGCTTTAACAGTTGTCTTGTAAAAGACACATAATAACAAATATAAAATTAAAGTATAAATGGTTTTAGCTGCTTTTAACAGAAAAAAAGTAAAGTAATCAAATATAATTACTTGAATTAATAAACAGTTCTGTCATATCACTGTTAATCTCCACATAAATTATGTTACAATTTGAGTCAGTTATTTAAAATCTAAATGTATCATATAGGACACCTCTGCTTATCAACCAGATAGGTTAAAGAAAGCAAGAACACAAAAAATGAAACAAAAAAATGCCTCTATAGAAATTAAATCCTATATATATTTTTCAGCCAATATAATCCCATCAGAAGGTTTGTTGGATAAACAATCATTACAAGGACAAATACTAGCAAAATGGTTGGTGAACATAGTTGTAAACCTACCACATGTTATTTTTGGACCATTTAGAAAATAATCATAATAAGAGCCAATAATTGATGAGTAATTTTACACTGGCAGTAACAAATTCATAATACTCTAGATTATTCAAGCAGAATATTCTAGAATGTTCCAATATTGTTATCAGTACTTATTTTTAGCCTAAAAAATACAAACAGAACATTCTGTAATTGATATTCGTGCAAGAAGGTTATCATCATGGGAAGAGGTAAAGAATTGACAAATTCACAAAAAGAATAGATTATTAAGCTCTGGAAAGAAGGTAAAAGTTACAGGAAAATCTCAGACAACCTGAATATTCCATTTACTACCATTAGTTCATTCATTGCAAGATATAAAAAACTCAAAACTGTTGAAAACCAAAGAAGAACAGGTGCTCTACAGAAGATTTTGTCAAGATCTTTGAGGAAATTAATGCATCAAATTATACAAAATCTAATGTTTCTTGTCAAGAGTTGCAGGATGATTTGCTTTCATCAGGAATCTGTGTCACTAAATGGACAATAAGTAATGAAATTCATAGGAACAATCTAAAATCATGCTCCCCTTGGAAAACTCCACTGCTATTGAAAAGACTCAGAGATGCCATGTTGAAATTCATTTGTGAACATAAGCATAAGGCAAAATTGTATTGGGAAAGAGTATTATGGACAGATGAAACCAAAACTGAGTTGTTTGGATGTAATTTTAGAAATCATGTATGGTGGAAAGATGGTAATGACTTCAAACAAAAGAACACAGTTCCAATAGTGAAATTTGGTGGTGTCAGCATAATCATTTGGAATATTTTTTTGCTAAAGATACTGGCAACATATCAGTAACAGATGATAGGATGAATGCTGCAGCATATCAAAATATTTTGGAAGCAAATTTAATGATTTTGGTTGAAAATCTTAAACCTCCTCCTGATTGGATCTTCCAACAAGATAATGATCCTAAGAAAAATCTACAAAGAAATGACTTGCAGAAAATAATGTAAATATCTTGAAATGACCAAGTCAGTTCCCAGATTTTAACCCAGTTGAAATCTGTGGCATTATTTGAAAATTCAAATCCAATTGAGAGCTCCAACAAACATCCCAGACATTATAAGAAGAATGGAACAAAATACCAACTAAAATTTGCAAATTATTACTTCAGAACCATAAGAAGAAGTTGGTTGCTGTAGAAGTGAATAATGGCTATTCTACAAAGTACTAAATGAAGATTATGTATTCTTTTTTTGTATTGTAGGAATACTTTTTTCGCCTATTAAAATGGAAAAATGGGATTTATTTCTATTAAATCAATTTTTTTTCTGTTTTCTATGCACATTTAGTTATGCATCTGTGTACAGTTAATTATATGAAAAGTATGTTTATTCATTAGTTGGAAATATAATAAATTAAAAATTTGTATGTGTACAAATATTTGTTTCCCCTACTGGTTTGCATAAAAGTCAAAAAGGTAGAGTCTTTTTTACACAAGATTCAAAAAGTTAGATATAGTTGAGGTTTGCATGAAAGTCAAAAAGGTAGGTATAAATCCAAGCCTGGTTGATCATTACCACTGTAGTGAGTTCAATCCTCACTTGATATCACATACTTGTGGCCTTGTGCCAAACTAAACTAAGCTTGCTGAATTAAAAATTATTAGTAAACAAAGTAGATTACAAGTTAATTCTTCATATTAGGTAAGATTTCCGAGAGTTTTAAAATGAAACATTTGTATATCTTGGTGTATAGTGATGTAGGGCTTATAGGTTAAAATGAATAGTTGATTTACCCATGCCAAAAAGACTAATGGAGAATGATAATGACAAGGAAACACATGATAAGGAATTTATTTATGAATTTACACACTTAAAGTTGTGCCATTTGCTCAATTCAGGAAAATAAATAAGAAATTTTAAAGTCCGTAGTTTTAAAAAATTGTCCCCAAGAGGAAATGTTCATACAACAGATTAAATGATCTGACAAAATAATATTAAAAAATGTTTAGAACAAAGGAAAGAGAGTTTGTTGCTCAAAGAAGGGATATACAGTTGCATACATTCAAAAGAGAGATAGTTTGAAATACTTAGCTTTCTTGGATTGTTAGGAGAAAATTCTTTTTGAGGAGCTGCATGTTTTGTTAAGAGCCAATAACTGATGAGTAATTTTACACTGGCAGTAACAAAACAGAAACAAAACTTTCACATGACTTCAGATTTTCTCTTATTAATTTAATTTTTCTCCTCATTTTATATCAAAAGGAATTTTGCATAGACTTGCAACTTTCTTTTCTTCCTTCTTGGCTCAACAACTAATTCCTGTGGAGACAAGGTTTTCATTGGTCCAAAAATCAATTTCACAGATGCTCACAAATTTGTTTCCATCTTTTTCTAAGTTAAGCTTAGAAAATATGTATTTTGCAGTTTTTAAAGCCTATAAATTAAGCCACATAAAACTTTAAATAAATATATACATAATTGATTTAGTCATTTTAATCTGTTAAATTTTATAAGATTTTAAGAAATGCAACTATAATAGGTTAATACTTGGATTTACCTTTTATTGTATCCATAAAAACTTTCTTTTATTCATTTGTTTAAGCAGAAATTATTTGAATATTCTCATTAATCATAGGATGTTAAAATGAATTGTCATTTAACCATGAAGTGGCATTTATATCTACTGAGAAGGTATTTATACCATCCTATATGTTTTGATGGATTGATTCCTTTTCTATGGCTTATCAACCCTTTCCAGATTATTTAAAGCCAGAAAATGTTTTTAGATTGTAAGAATTTGATGGAAGGAGATAATAATGATTTAGTGATACAAGTCTTAATAATTAACCCATAGCTGGGGGTAGAAGAGTTGGATTCATACTTTTCCTAATGGTATTTGTGGGTGAGTGAATATAATGAACTGAACTGTAACTGGAACTTGACTGTCTGATTAACAATTCTGGATCATAATCCATTACACCACCTGCACATCCAAGCTTACAGCACCTGGTATTCCCAAGTAGTCACTCATCTAGGTACTGACCAGGCTTGACATTGCTTAACTTCAGTGATCATAGAGGAACTGGTGGTACAATGTGACATGGCTGTAAGCCACTCTATATGTTTGCAATAAAATAATAAAGAATGAAAGCCAAATACAAGGAAGGCTGAAATTTTATGAAATATTTATTCCATAAAATAGAAATAAAATAAAAGTTTTGCTGTGAAAAATGTATGCCTTTGATTAACAGCAGAATATGAGTCTCTGCATATCAGAAACAAGAAAATTACTACTCATATGACTGACCAGCTGTTGAGGAGTGCTTTTTGTTAGGGGTTGTCATATGTTGCTTCATATTAGATCTCTTTTTGATTCACTCCATATCAAAACCTGTTGGCTGGGTGTGAATGCTATGAAAGCAAAATTAAAAATAAAAGAGTTGCTCTTTGCACAGTAGATCTGAGCATTGCATCTGGCTCACAAAACAAAAATATGAAATACAATTTAAATGTCAGAGACAATCACAAACATCGCTGCTAAAGTAAAACAATGACAAAAACACTGGATCATATATTCACCCTGACTGCTTAAAAGAGCCTCCTCACAATACTCAAGGCAGTAGGTATGCAGTCATAGAGTTCACCAGTGGCACCAGATCATTAACATGACACAAGCTTCAATACCAGTACCTTACACTAGTGACTTTCCCATCCTCCAGGTTACTTCCCTCACACACAAAAAGACATTCCACCTTGATCCTGTTATACTCCACTGCAAATTAGATTTCTTCTTGATTCACTCTACATGCCAGTTGAATGTGAGTAGTAGAAAGCAAAACCCAAAATAAAAAAAGTTGTCTTCTGTACAGGGGCTCCAAGACTCACATCTGATCTACAAAATAAATCCCTGCAAAAATTTTAAACGCAATACAAAAGAAGCCAATCACAAATGTTGCTGCCAAAGAAAAAAGATGAGTCTAGGAGCCACCACATTTGTTTTAAGAAAGCAACTCAAAAACAACTGGCCCAGAATATTGCCAACAGACCGGGCTATCAATACTCTGCCACTCTCAATGCCACCACTATGCTTTCAGTCAACTGACCCAACACACATATCTGCTCAAGAACCACCCTCCTCCAAACACCCATACCAGACTCACATGAAGATATTCTGTTTGCATCTACTGTTTTTCCAATCAGATTTGCAACTTCACTGTCACACTCCAGGCTTCTCTTGATGTTACCACTGTGACCATGGTTAACTGAACTGACAAATATGTCCAGTTCAAACCTTACCAACCCTTACTCTTACGCCAAATCACTTCTGTTATCAATGCCAATTAAAGAACTTTATATCAACAATTTTATCTTTTCACATCGCCTCACAGACTGGTTATTGCTGTTTCAGTTTGATCCCCCACCTGCCAAACAGATCAACTCCAGGCTTTACCAATCCTACCAACATTCAAAATTGCCACACTTCACTCATAAATACACAGAGACATTCTGCTCACATCTGCTGTATCGGCAAATACAAAAGAATTTTATATTTACAATTTCTGTTTCTTTTCTTTTTGCCTCATCAGTGGTATTGTTATTTCACTTGTTCTCCTTTGCTATCATGCATCTGTTTATAACAATCTTTTATACCACCAATAAAGAGAATTTTATTTTAACATATCTTGTCACCTTTTCTTTTCATCTCGCTGACAGTACTTTGTTGCTTTCATTTATTCTCTTGAAACCATACACAGTATATAACAGGGTGATGACCCTACACATTAGACAAAGGAAAAAAAAGAAAAGAGAATTTATTTTTGAAAGCATACTGCTACTAGCTGGTTACATATCTTCTCTATATCTAATCATGTGTGTGAGGGACTAAACTCACTACAGGTATATTGCTAGGTATGCATAAAATTACAAGCTACAATGAAAATAATTTCTCACCCCATTAATGAAAATTGATAGAAAAAAATGTTGAAAATATCCTCTTGAATTTGCCAAAGAGCAGCAGCCTACCTGACAGCATATGATGTAGATAATTGACAAAGTTTTGGAGGAGTCAAAAAGTGAACCATAATTGTTCAGAAACCTCCTTTATTTTAAAACTAAGTTGGATTTCATGAAGTGTCATTTCAGGGGAAAAATCAGTAAAAAATATTGATAATATATTGTTTTGAAAAAGAAAAAATATGTTATGAACAGTATTTTTTATCTGTATATTGATTAAATGAAACCAAAAATAAAAGATTATTAAAAAAAAAAAATAGACTGAAGGCAACCCTGAAAAACATGCTTGTAATTAAGAATTGTGAGTGATTTTGTTAATACTGTGATAATTAAGCAAATCAGGTGTAACGTGTTTGTTAATAAAGTATTGATTAACTAGAAGCATATTTTCAAAAGTTGCATTAAATACATTCAAGTCGTATAGTGAATTCAGCATGTTACAATCTGGTAATGTTTACATGTTGGGGAGATGCATCATTATTCATCATTTCAGGTAACATTATATCAAAACTATTAATTCTACTCAAATATTTCATTACAATCATTTGCCTCATGCTAGTAAATAGTACATGATTCAATTTATAAGTGCATTTTTTAATTTACAATCCTTTTTAACCTATGTTCCAGGCCCCACACTAGCTTAATCCAGCTCTGATCTGTAAATCAAATAAATATCAACTCAATAGGCATTATTGCACAAAATTGTAATTTTATGGGAATAAATCATCAAAGACTGAGAAAAATATGTCACTTCTCTTCAGATAGATTTCTTTTTGCCACTATCTTAAGATTTCAGTGTACTAAGACTTCATTTTTGTTCTTTTCTCTATCAGATGACATCTATTATGTTGACATATTTCATCATGAATCACCTGTCTCCTTTTTTATTAATAGAAACAATATCAATGTCAGAAATAATTAAAGATAGAGTTGAGAAAAATCCAGTGCATATGGCACTTTTATATAATGCAAAACAAATTTTATCATTTTGTAAACAAGATATCCAAACACCATGAAAGGTGTGTTCCAGAAGTTTTGAGACTTTTTCATGAGAGACATTTATTAATTTCAAAGAAGTTGTCATGCCTCTTACATTTTCTACACAAACTGGATATTGACCACTTGAAAAATCAAAGCAGACTGCATAAATACATTTTCCATGCATTGGCTCCATGTATAAATCCACTTTAACCAAAACAAAATTAATAATACATTATGACCAGTCAGAGCCACTCCCGCTCAAAAACTAAAACCTTAATTTCAAGCTGACTAAAAACTATGTATACTCAAATTCAAACAGATGTAACACAGACAAGCATTTTATGTCAACACTGGCACACTGAGAAAGAGAGACACATTCAAAATAACATAACTGTTTTAGATATGCCATTTTGCAACTTGTTTTACTCCATGATTATCAAACATTAGTCATCCTATCTTTTCTGTGAGCCACAAATTGAGAATATTTTTCAACAGATGAACATAATCAAAAAGCAAATGTTTTTTTTTTATCTTCAATTAACCAAGGATTTTCAAGGAGTGTGGGATATAATTTACAAAAAGCTTGATTTACTTGGTTGCCATCATATATAATAGCCTTTACATCAGCTGATACAGAGGTGATGGCCTGATCTGTTAATTCTATTTGTTCAAATAAAAAGGCTGATGTTAATTTTGAAATTGGAATCAATCTTGTAAGAAATCTTAGATCCCCATTAAAACATATCAACATTATACCAAGTACTGTTTCAGCAAGTAGAGATGGATTATCAACTGATTTACCAAATAGTTGTTTGCCATGATATAGTAACATTTTCTTGATATATATACTTCATCATAGAGAATTATGCACCCTTTTTCACTGGCATAAAGAGTATTAAGTACAGATAGCAAAAAAGATTTTTCATTAAATTTTGAAACTTTTGACGTCATCCTTTTTAGTATTGCTAATGATGATAATTGAAAATCCTCTTATACAACCATGATGTTGCATAGTACTCAAAAGCATGTATTACTATATCGGAGCTGTATTTTCATTCAAACCATTTTGGGGGCCATTGCCGAAAAGTGCTGACTCAAGATATCCTTCTTCTGATCAAAAGTCATATAATTTAAATATCAGATAATTTCTTCCAATGCTGACCAAGTATCAACTGTAGACAGTTTTTGGACAGGCTGTAATATAACACTTACTCCATATGAAAGGCTTCAAACCACAAATTTTTATAAATTCTCAACATAAAGAGATAACTTTTGATAACTGAACAGTTAAAATATTTTCAGCCAAAAACTGGACAACAAAGTCTTTTTTGTTGTTGATTAGACTTCCTTTCAAATCTGTATAATTAATCTTATATAATTCTAAAAAAGCATTAATTTCATCAATTTGATTTTGAGCCATACTGGAGTTTTTTTTTTTTTTTTCCTTTTGAATAGCAGAGGGTGTTGGTATTTGACTCTTTTGCTCACCAGGCCATACAGATGGTGGATTGGGGGGGGGGCACATTTTTCCATGAACTTCTGTGATATCAAAATTTGAAGGTCAATGTAGTTGACAAATAACTGTATTTGTAACATTCAGCTTGGTATTTGAAACTGATTTTTCCATTGCTCTCTCTCATCTTTGTCTTTTGGAAATTGGTAAACTGATATTTTATTCATCTCACAAACAGTTTTCTCTTGTTGGCTTCTGTAATTTGTTTTGCAAGTAACAACACAACACTTCCAGGGAATTGCTAGAAACTAGGTAATATCTGAAATGATTAAGCAACTGATAATAGCAATTCAAAATAAATACTTACTTCAAACAAAAATGAGATTCCAAATGTAAGGAAAATTTTCACCAGTGTTGGTTTAAGTAATTACTTAAGCCAACACCGGTGAAACAGCTAGCTCAAACTGAAACTAAAATACCTGCTGCTCTCATCAGCCTCCAGTTCTGTCCCATCACTACATTATGACTTGGCCATTGAATATAGAACACCATAGTTAGGAGGAGAAGAGATGGATCCATACTTTTCCCAAGGATATTTACATGTAAGTGAATATAACAAAGCCAACAGGAATTGGAACATAGCTCTATTATTAACAATTTCGAACTGTTATCCATTATACCATTGGTATATCTAAGCTTACAGGATCTAGTATTCCAAAGCGGTCACCCATCTAGGTATTAACCAGGCTCGACGTTGCTAAACTTTGGTGATCATACAGGAAGCAGTGTTTCAATGTGATGTGGCCATAAGCCTAAGAAGAAGAGGAAGGAGGAGGAGATGATGATGATGATTATGAAAAAGAGCTTAAACAAATTTGTCTAAAACGTACTGTTCCACTGGGCTTAAGGTGGAAAGATAAATTATATGAGACTGGCCACTGAAAAGTCGAATCAACACAAAGACAACACAAGATATGATAAACTTAACAACATAATTCAAACTGTTCACTGGATCTGTTTTGCTACCAGAAGTGTTTACAATCATCATAATTATAATCAACATTATTGATGTTATAACATGTACATTCTAACAGCTGCTGCCTTAAAGCTAGAAGAAAATATGAAATAATTGTAAACAGAAACTGTGTAATATATATTTTTTATTGAATGTTGGTACATATTTTGGGACATGTTCCCTTCATCAACTGAGCATTTACATTGATTAAAATACCACAGTACGATACAAACTTGTAACAGGCAATAATTCGAAATTCTTAGAGATGATAATTCATCACATAAATTAATTATTAAAGAAAGATTGGATTGCTAAGAGGGAGCTTTGTTTAAACAACAGCAGTTAAGTGGTAGTTCCATGCTCCTCAAAACCTTCAATCTCCTAATCAGAGACCTTGCTGCTGAGAGATTGGAGGTTTTGAGGAGCGTGAAACCAGCTCTTAACTACTGTTGTTCTCATATCCACCCTGACCTGGAGTAGTAGCACCTGTTAGGCTTCCAGCTATGGGCAAATAGTGAACCCCAAACACTATGAAAGCATAAAAATACATTTTTATAGTAAAAATACCAGCAATACATTATTATACTGAAAAAAATTACCAACAATACATTTTTAAAGCAGAATTACCAACAAAAATTTTATAGCAAAATGACCCACAATATATTATATCTATAGTCAAAGCCATAAAACTGTTCAAAATATTTGGATCCTGGAATTAAATAGCCCATATAGGTTGATATACCACTAAACAAAATCAAAAGCCTTGTTTAAATAAACAAGTTAAATCCTATATGACAATCTTGAGGATATAAAAATTATATTGTAAGATTATTAAAATAACAGCTGTATTTTGTGCTAATCCAGCCTCTTTTTTTTTTTCTTCTTCTTGTTCTGTGAATTTTGAATTATCATCCACTACATGACGGTACAGTGGAGTAATGGATAGCAGCTTAGATGGATTCTAGTTGAATCCATTGCATTCACTTACGTGCTAATACTCTTGAGAAAGGCATGAATCCTCTTCTTCTCCCCTCAGCTACGGGTAAATAGCAGGACAGACTGGGTTCTATAGCCTTCGATGGCAACTGGTCGACTGCAGAAAGAAATGGCAACCTACTGCAGGAGAAAATCTGTCAGTCTTGTATCGAAAGCTACATGATCGCCTAAGCGTGTATCATGCATGGCACATAACTGAACTATACATAAATATATATATATATATTATATAAATATTATATATATTATATAAATATATATATTACACACACACACACATGTTCCACAATGATATATCACATATATCTACAAAGCAGAGAAACAAAAAGGATGAGTCTTACATATAATGTGGAAACACTCCTGGGTCTGGAGAAGTCATTTTCAGGACTCCAGATTCAAATGGGCTGGATTCATCTATGTCCCAGGCAAGGACATATTTCACGAACGGGGAACATCATGTCTTGAGATTTTCCAAATTGAGAATAGCGAGCTTGGGTTTCATTCTATATCTGGGGAAGATATATTCCCAAAGGGACATGGCACTATGGACTTAATAAGCTGCTGGGGATGCAGATATAGCCTCTGTTTGGGCAATGAGTGCCCAAGCTAAAGAAACCAATCTTACCATTTGCTTGCTGTAAACGAACTGAAAAATGACTGGCACTTTCATCACTGTATGGAGTGATGTCATTAAGTGGCTATCATGTGACCCATGTGACTTATCTCCACCAAAAAGAGATAAGCGCTTTCTGTATCCTTACAAAGAGATAAAAATTAACAGATGAGGTCCTGGTCAAAGAATTAATTTTGCAAAGATAATGGATTGCAAAATATTAACCATTTCTAGAGCTAAAAAACAAAACAAAACAAAAACAATATTTCAATGCCTCCATCTATAATTTGTTGCTTGCCAAGGGGCTGAAAGAGTTAATTGTCTGTAATTGTCTTTCTCATGGTAAATGGACATATACATCTGTAAATAACCAAAATGAATTACATATTGATAATCTACATTCATAAATTTACATATATAATGAGACACATTTGAGCTGTCTCCCACCATGATAAACATTCCATAGATACATGTGGCAATTAAAAAAATTAAATGAGCTGGTAAACTGTTCTAATATGATAATGATGATGGCTGATGGCAGTAAGTATGATGAAGATGATTTTCATATTTCTTTAATACAGTTCACTTCTTGCTTATGGCAAACTTTGAAAGCAAGACAAAAGAATAATACAATAAGGAAGTGTTTACTTTCATATAATTAGTTTTTGATAAAGCCTTATAGAAGACCAGGATTTTTAGGAAGAGGACTTGAATCTAAAAATATGAAAAGATTTCCAAATAGTGTTTATTATTTTTCTATTTTTTTTTTTAAAGAAAACAAAAATGATCTGAATTTCAATCTGATGAATCATCCTATCAGTTTAAACATTACAAACATAAAAATGAAAGTTGCTAAATGAGTTATAGCTAAGCTATAATTATCTCATTTTCATATTAAAAAATACTTTGAATTAATTTGTTGCATTTAAACAGACAAATTATTTTGCAAAATATCATTTACTGACTCGAATTATCTGTTCATTTACAATTTTCTTGTGTATAATTTATAAAAGGTAATTTTTTAATTTTTACTCATGACACAAATAAAAAGGCTATTTTTTAAATATTAATTCTCACTGGTTATTAAATTGCTGCTATGCAACAAATATCTTTTTTAAAAAAAATGAACTTAAATTGGTTTATTCATTTATTTTGCATCATTTTTGCCATTTAAGATAGCAAATAGGCAAAAAAAAAAACCCATTCATACAGAAAGTGAAGAATTGTTTTTTTGGTGTTTTATTTTTCTCGAGCAAGGGAGTCGGGGGATAGATCTTCATTGTAAAAAACTTTGAATCAAGATATCTATGATAATCACATTCATATCGTCTTCTTATTTAAATTCAGGCCTGTCATTAGTGATTTTTAAGTGGGGGTGCACAAGTATTTAGTTAGACAACTAAAATTAGTTATTCACACATGGCCAACGTGGGCCGTGGTTTAGGGGGTGGGAGTCTGAAATGCATTATAAAATATTGGAGTGTCTACTAAACATTATAAAATTAAAATATTGTAAATTTGTTACACCAGTTCCCTTTTTTCAAGCTTAAATAAAACTAAAACATTTTTCATTTTATGAGCTTTATTACTGCACAGCAAAATGTCATATAGTTAAAAAAAATTGTTGCACCAATACCAATGTTGTAAACTTCAAATTCGTCATTTATGCTTAAAGCAAATGAAAGTGAGAGATTTTTAGAGAAAAAAAAGAAAATTTTAAAATACAATTAAAAACTAAAAGGCATGAATCATCGTCATTTAAAAATTTCGTTTTTAAAAAAATGTTTTTTTTCATAACTTAATGCAACAATGACAATTCAAAATGACGTTTTATGCTAAAGGCGCTTGAATCTTGATAGTATTTTTTAAAAATTGATAACTTCATTAAATTTAAAACTAAAAGTAAAACTGAAAGTGATGTGGCTTGAAAAGTCCTTCGAAAGAAATCTTTTCATTTAATTTTTAATTACAAAAAATTAACCAAATAAATTTAGTAAGCTATAGAATTTCTTTTTGGAAAATGAATGAATAAGAAAAGAACAAACTTCATTTTTAACTAAAACTTTTAATTGCAATAATTTACTCCGCCAAAGGCTTCTTCATTAAAAAAAAAAAAAGATGTTTTTTTGATGATGTAAAAAAAAATAAAATAAAACATTTTGGTAAATAAACTTTTGTTTTGACTTGGGAACAAGGCTAGGCTTTTCACCTTGCTTGGGATCAATTCCAACGAACCATGTACAATTGTACAAGTATCAATAAAAATAAAAAAAACGAAACAAGATAGCTGGCGAATTTTTAGAAATTTTTTATGGTTTTCATTCAATTTCAATGTTCGACAACTTAAATTCTTCCTGCAAAATTTATAAAAAAAACTTTTAAAAATGAATACATTCAAAATATATGAGTCAAACCATTGGTACACCATTAAACAATCCTTAAACTTAGAATAATTCACAATTAAAACAATTTTTCGTATTTAAAAATATTGGTTTTATGTCTTTCTGTGACATCAAAACAACCTTTCGAATGAAAAACAACGGAATTATCTCCCTTACTCACTTCCGGCATAGCTGTAAAAAAAACAAAAAAATCATTAATATGGCAGCCGCTTGCGATATTTATGCGAGATTCTATTGAAATAAGTCATATAACTGCTCAAGAGCTAATGTGATGGTAAGTTCTGCATATATTATTCATAATATGGTAAATTTCAATGAAAACAATTTTCTGGTTGCAGTAATAGGGAAGTAGTGAAAAGATGATACTCCGTGATTTGATGATGCCATGTGTTTAGTCAATGTCGTAAGTGGGCAAGAGTTCATTTCTTTGAACACGATTATCATGGGCAGTTTATGTGTTTGGTTTCCTCTGGCCTGGAGCCTCTCTTACCTGGAAAATTTTTCTATCACATATGTATGCCTCTTTTTCTAAAATAATGATTATGTTAGCAACCTTCCCAGTTAAATAAACCTGTACACTGAGTTATTCGTTGTTGTCTCCAATTTACCTATTTCATCTAATTTTCATTTAAACTTTGTACTTCAAAATAATTTGTTTTTATTTTACCTTTAAATTTTAAAAAAGGTAAAAAGCACATTATTTTGATAATATTTTTACTTTTTTTCTTTTTAAAGATTGTTTCTTAATTAAATATAAATATAATTTATTAAAGTTTTATTAACTTAGATGACTAACTTTGAATTATATGATGTACTGAAATATGAATCTTTTTTTTAAGTAACCTTTAATATTTTTTATTCATTATTCAATGTCACACCATTAATTGAAGTTTTAAACAGAAACTTGATGACGACATGGAATTTTTTTAAAAACTAAAGGATTTTTGTTATGTTTGTACTTTGCAAACTAAAATTGTTTTTAGGAAGTTTTTTTTAATCTTCGTAATATTACCCATAACACTAAAAATGGAGTTCCAGTATACTGTATTCAGAAAAGAGATCAAATCAGTTTTAGCTTTTTTTTTTAGTGCTGATTGTTTATCATTACCAAAAACAATATTCGCTTCTTTTTTTTTAATTATTTTATATAGCATATTCGATGTTAATATTTTATAAAGTTATTTTTATGTTAACGTTTACAGTGTGGAATATTGTAAAACATCCTTTGAAATAAGTTTCAACAAGATAATTACCTTTTTTTAATTTTAATACACAAGAAATCGAATACGTTTCACTTTCAATTTTTTTCCATACGTGTGTATTTTAAAAATTAATTGATATCATAGAAGAAAATTGGTATATTTATTTTAATTAAATCTTTGATCTATCAAAATGTTAAATATACATTGATAATAAAATTTGAAATATTTACTATTTATTAGTGAAGGAAGACTGTGTATTCAATGTTTCTTAGTCATCAGAATTAGGTCTGTATCTTGGAGGATGCAAATTACAGATTAATTTGAACGTTCGCTTCATCCAATTTCTAAGAATAAAAACAAAATTGTAATTTCACCAACTTTAACTGGAAAACGAGTATGAGAAGGAAGATTACTGCTTTCCAAATTCCATATCGACTATTTTTTTTTTCCAAATCTCATTTTTGAAGAAAATTGTGTGCCTTTTTAGTTTCGTAATGAGACGAAATTTAAAAAAATAAATAAAAGAAAAGAAATCCACGTTGTCTGAGTTTCAATGTTTACGAGAATTTTTTTTTTCTAGAAAGCTTTGTTTTTTTAAAACTGGTTGACAAAGAAAGACAAACATTAATAATGGGAATAAATATTTTCATTTTGTTAATTAATAATTATTTGAATACACTTGACAAGAAAAGTGAATTCATTCTTTGATTTTACTTATCATTTGTATGCAATTATTGTAAATCACCAACAAGAACTATTCATGTGAGAAATATCAAATTGATGGTTATTTTTTTATTTTGTAAAATTGGGTATTGTAAATTTTTAAAAGTTTTTAGAGATTCTTTTTTAAAGCTTATTTTAAACTTTAAACAGTGTTTTAAACTTTTAAAGGGTGAAAGAATTGTTCTTGTCTGTTTTGAAATCACTTGTTTTTAAATAAATCCAGTTAAAGTTTGACAATTTCTTTCGTGAGTATGCTGGTTGAGTGTTTCTGGTGAAAAACACATGTCTCCTGGTGTATTTATCCCACAAAAGAAATGGAAGACTCGGAATGTGAGTCCCGGTAATAAATGAACAAAGTAACAACGTTACAAAACAAATACATAGACAATAGAAGTTTGTTGCCTGTTACAAAAAAATGAATATGAAAGAAGAAAACATTTAAACTAGTAAATTGTGTGTGTAGAAGGAAGTCCTAAAGAAAGGTGTTGGCATACATGTGTGTCCCTCAATGGGAGGTGCATCCTCTACATTTAACCTACATCTTACCATGTAAGAGGAAAAGAGGATGACAGAGAATGTCACTGTCTTTTTATAAGCTTAGTCAGTCGTTCAAGTCTGAACCGACTGTTCAGTTAAACTCTCTTCCTACGGATGGGAGGAACCCGAAGGAGGCTATGCTGAAGGGCGGGGTCTCCTTTGGGGAGGTAGACCGGCCCTAAACCCGTTTATACGGGTTCAATGGGCATATTTTTGGCCGAGCCCACGGGCTCGGAATGCCCACGTTAAAAAGGCCTTGTGCCACATGACACCCTCGTGGGGGGGTGACTGAATATTGTCTATTTATAAGCTTAGGAGTATCCTCTCCTAGCGGCATTTTTTTTTTTTTAGTAAAGCAAGTGAGATAACTCCACAATACTCCCCTCCAGGTGGGGAGAATTTTATTCTGCCCATATATCCATAAAGTTTGTGAAAAAAGAGTCGAACAGTGTGATTGTGATGTGTGTTTAAACATGTCACCGAAAATGTACTTGTCTGAAGTACTGTGTCATCAGGGTGCTATATAATTCTCTAGTGGGTCAGAGTTGTAGCACACCCTGGAAGATGTGTCAATAGTGTAGAAAAAGAGTGTTCAGTAGTTGGTGTTAAAATTTTGTTTTACAATGCTCCATGTTGATTTTGTTTGGAAGGCCTTTTTTTTTTCTTTTTTTTTTCTTTTTCTTCTTTGACTGGATGATGTTAGTGTACAAAATTTTATTAGAGGGAGCTTCAATTTGTAAAATTGTTGAGCTGATATTGGTGAAATTTCTATCAAGTGTTGAATACATGTTTGTGAGAACTTTTGAAGATATCTGATATTATTGTTAATTTTTTTCTCAGCGATACAGCTATCTCCATGTATTATTAAATTGCATTTACAGATTTCTTAGTTTTGTTTGTGTTAACACCTTTGAAGAGTGAAAAAGGTCAGTGAGTTGCCTTTAGAATTATTTCACACTTGTTAAACCTAGGAGAAACAGTGCTGTTTAAAGTTGAAAATGGAGTTAACTTTTGTGGTGTTTTGAAAGGTATTTTTGTGTATGGTCTTAAAGAAAATGAGCTGTATTTTGCTTGCTTCACACTTGTATGATGAAAGTCATATTTTTCATTTTGGCGAAAAAATTTTTTTGCTGCTGAAAGAAGGAGTTAGGTATAATGGCTTTAGAGAAAGAAAGGGTCAAAGAAAAAGCAGTAGGAGATGAGATGCATGTTGTTTGCCTGCTGACCATGCAATCAAAGTCGTAATGGCAATTAGGGATTTTTTTGGGTCATGTGTTGCAAAATAAAATATATTTGCTGACTTGGAGAACATCTTGTTCAAATAGTTATGTTGTGTAGATCTGTTTTATTTTTTGAAATTTGCAATTTTGCTCTTTATATCAGGACTAATCACAAATTTTGTAATTGTAAGTTATTTTTGTTGGAAATTTTTCATGTCTGCCATGCATGGAGAAGTTGGTTGAAGTTTTTCTTCACTGGTTCTTGGTCTGAAAAATTGTCTAAATGCTTAGTTGAGTTTGTATATATAGCTTTTTGTGTGTTTTTGTATCTAGGAGAAAAATATTGCATTATGGTCACCAATTTGTTGCAAGTGACATAAAAATCTGGATATATGAAAGAAGAAAACATTTAAACTAGTGAATTGTGTGTGTGAAGTTGTGTAGAAGTAAGTCTTAAAGAAAGGTGTTTCATGGAAGAAAGCGAAGAGAAAGGTGTTGGTGTGCATTTGTGTTTCCCAGTGTGAGACACATTCTCCACATTCAACCTACATCTTACTGTGCAAGAGGAAAATAGGAAAAAGACAATGACAGAGAATGTCACTGCCAATTTATAAGCTTAGGAGTGTGTCCTAGCGACATTGTTTTTTGTTTTTTAGGAAAGTAAGTAGAGTAACTCCACAATTGTGTCACTTATTCAGAAATTTAAAATCATTGCACCATCAAATTCTCTTTCTCCTTGATAAAATATATTATTTTTTAGTATAAATCATATCTTGTAATGGTGAAATTGATAGCTTCCATGCAAGAAACATTCAGCATTCGTTGACTGAGCAGTTAGCAATTTTCGGTCAGTTAAAAATTATAAAATCTTTTTTATAAACATTTTTTCAGGGAATTAGATTTCTTAAGTCCACTGTTATTGCTCTTTTTAGTATTGATGGAAGTTTCCTTTCAAGTCTTTTGTTTCAGGTAATGTGGAAAGTCAACATTTTATTTTCTCTTTTAGTTTCATGAACTACCCAATTTTGTTGTTGATACTGTTTAAAGTTTTCAAGTATTTTTGTTATTTGATGAAGTTCTTCATGATTTTGTAGTGCCAGTTTATAGGGTTTGATAAGGGATTGTCTGCTTTAAGACCTAAAGGATTCATTCACTCACTTTGAAGCCATTTTTAATCATCTTGAAAATTGAACTTTTTATGAATTTTGTTCAAGTGATTACAGAAAGTTTATTTTCATAGTGGGTTTGTTTTCAAGTTCTCTGTACATTTATTAGTAATGAAACACTTATGCAAATTTTCAAGTTGACCCTTTTCTAGTTCACATTGGTACATGTGTTTTACACATGTACCAATGTGAACTAGAAAAGGGTCAACTTGAAAATTTGCATAAGTGTTTCATTACATCCAGGTCAGCAATCTAAGAATATCTTATTAAGAATTGGGATTATGCATCATCCTTCCATGAGGATATGTTCTTGGTTTTGAGTGGATCGCATTCCAACTATCACTTAAAAGTCGTCATGACAATTTATATATATTAAATCAAATCAACCATCCTTATATAAACAAAAGGATTTATTATTAGGACAGT